AAATAGCAGCTGTGTTCCTGACAGATCCTTGGTAACAGCATTTGTGCTCATTCCAAAGATCTCTGGGAAAGGATTCTGTGCAAGTGTCTTTGTACATTCAGGACAGCTTCAGTACTGAGAAAAGGTGGGAAGAAAATACCTCTAGAGCAAAAAAAAAATGATGCAAAAGCAGCCAACCATCCCACAAGAGACCACAAGCTGTACTTCAAAACCACTACAGGCTTTCCTGGAGTGATTAATAAAGTGTGTTAACTAAGATACAAATTATACAAAGATATAATTCCTGAAAAATTCTGGAAGCTGACGAAAATTCTGTTAAAATGACATACCAAGGGTAAGGGGCTGCTGCCCCTCTCTGAGCCCACTGCCTTCCAAGTGCCTGAAGGTGTTTTGCTGAGACTGACACAACTCCTGTCTGATAAATTAAGCTGATTATGGTGGCCTTTCTGCCTCCAGTAAATATAATGAACTATTTCTCTTATGCCTATTTTAAAATGCTTTTAACTTCACTGGGCTGTGTTTCTCACTTACTGTCCCCTGAGTGCTGACTCACACAGAGTCAATTTAGATGGCAGTAATTGGGTGTTTACATAATGTCCTTTTCTTAGAAGTCACTGAAACAAGGCCTGAGAGATGAGATTAAGCCACCAAGCAAAGAGTGACTGAGTAAACACTGAGACACATCAGTTTCAGTAAAGATACATCTATTAAAGAAAATATAAAAAGCCGTTGCTAATTCTGTTGTTCTGACATCTCCTTCAGGAGAGGCAAAATAAACACCACTTGGATCAAGTACATCATTGACATTTGTAATGAATTCTAAGGAAAATAACATCTTCAGAACACTCGCAGAGCCAATCCCAGTGTCAGTGCCTCTGGCACCGGAACTGCATTCCCCATCACAGTGAGGAGCAACAGCTGGCAGCTCCTGCAGGAGAGCAGGACAGAGATCTGAGCAGCAGCCCTGCACTTCCCTGGGCAGCCCTATCACTGTCACTGTAATTCACTTGGAAGGCAGCCAGAATTCTCACTGGAAGCTGTAAAAGCTGTTAATTACTTCTGCTAGCTCATGCTTGAACCATTCCATCTCCAGCCCTTCAAATACTTTTTAATAATCATCCCTCAAGTCACCCAGCCATTGCTGCTTTTGAAGAGTAATAGCACCAAAAATTTCCATAGTAATGCAGCTGAAACTCCCTGGATACAAGTTTATGGAAAACTTTTCTAAAAATATCTCTACTTGTTCGACATCTTTCTAAAGTAAATGTCTGCTATCACAAGGCCATAGCTGGGCTCATAATTTTATTTATTTTTTTAGAAAATCAAACATGCTTGAATTCTTGAGGTTGGGAGAAGCTGGACTCCTCTTAAATGCATAAAAAGAAAAAATTATAAGTAATAAAAGAAAATTACTTGCAGGAAGGGCATGAGTAGGTGATGCACTGAGGATTGGGATAAAGCAAACCAGTCCAAAAAAGTATCAATAAATGTTTACTATGTACAAATCATTATCTTTCAGGGCAAAAAATGGTTCCCTCCATGCTAGGAACTACATTTGTCATTTGTTCAGAACCTTTGGTCATGTAATAGGAGGGCATCCCCCTCACAATCCCCCACTCCCCGCTCTCCTTCAGGAAACAAACACCTCTGTGCAGCTGCTTGAGCCACTTGCCTGTTAATCACGTTATGGCTGGAATGTGCCTGTTTAAGCACATGAATAACCAAAATCACTGCAGGCTGACAGTGACAGGAACACCCCTGTTCCTGCCCATCCACAACTTGAACAGCCTTTGGCCATGCTGGGCTGCTTAGGAAGCTGGACCATGAAGAAGGGCCACCTATTGCTGGGAAATTCCTGAGAGGCTGCTGTGACAAACAGCCACCTGTGCAGCCAGGGAAGGAAACAACCTTTGCCAGAGCTCCTCTGCTGCATCCCAGCTGGTTTCACTCTGCCAGGGGCTGCTCTTGTCCCTGGCACTGAATAAATCACAGCCAGCCAGCAGGGGTGGCAGTAGGATATTTTGCACCTTGCAGGAACAGCTCATTTCTTTTCTCCTTTCCTGCACAGCAGAGCTGAGCCACTCAAAGCCCCGCTTCTTCCTGCTCCCACACTTTGTGAGCCAGGGAAAACCTTTTCTTGGCAACCAAAGGCCTTCAGCAGGAGGTCTTTAAATGGTCATGAGCATCATTTCCAGAGTCTCTTGAAACCTCTAAGCAATTTTATTTTTTATAGCTATTTATTCGTGTAGAATTAATTAATATGCATTAGGTACAATGTATGTATGAGACTATGCACCCATACATTTAACACCACTGTGTTATAAAATATTGTTCATATAATATTTTAGGGTTTTTTTATCCTTACCAAGTTTGATTTCTGGCCAAAGACATTAGGTACAAATGTTTGATTTGGTTTTCAATTGAGACCATCTAGCTAAGTACACAGTCTCATTTAGATAATCTACATTAATTATAGAAAAATAATGCAAATTAATGTAAAATGTGATTGCAAACACACATTCAATTATTAAAACAGTTGATAGGTTTTCCCAGTGGTACCTTTTTCTTAGAAAAAAAAAAAACACCTAGAGAGCCTTTTATTAATGCCACAGGAACAAGTTTCTATTGATTAAGTATGAGACAAGCAAGAAAATAAAAAATAAATGCACTCCACTATTGGCAGTAATTGAAACTATTTCCTTGCAGTGGAAGACAACTCTTTCATTTCTGAGCCTCTCTTCCCCTAGATCATAGACACACTTTCATCAGGGTTGGCTTTAACTGATTTACAAAGTTGCAACACTACTCACAGGTATTCTGCACTTATTGTAAAAGTCAGGATCTGATAGTGGATATCAGATATTTAATGTACTGTATTGTTTAAAATGCAATTTAAATCTTTTCTTTCATGTCATGCCACCTTTTATGTATCTTCCAGTGAAAAGCTCCAACTACCCATCCATATAATCTGGACCTATGAAATTCTGACAGTTTCAGAACACTTCTGCAAACAGCATTCTCTTGAAGGATGTAGACAACCTACTATAAAATGCAGGACACCTTTACGGGTAGACTTGAAATGTACCTGTCATTCTTAACAGCACAGAATTCTGAAAGAATTAAAGGCAGGAAATGCAAAAAATACATCTTAGGATGTGTTAGTACTTGTACAATCCTAGTTTCTAGTATTCTAGCAGTACTTTTCTACATAAGAACTGATATGAGCTGCTGGGAATTTTTTGTTTGTTTGTTTTAAATGCCATAAAAACAATCAAAGCAAAAAAAAAATTTCAATTCTGATGCATAAATATCACTCAGGACTCCAAGGTCCCATATGACTGTGGTGGTTTTGATTAAATAATACATTACACATAATGCATTTTTGAAAAAAATAGCATTTTCAGATAAGACTGCTTACAAGAAACATTTAAAATACTACAGCTTTGTCCCATTTTTGCATTTTCTATTTGAAATGACACAAACTAATTAGTTAAATAGATCGTGACATCACAAGATGATAAAATATGCCAAAATATTTAACCTACAGTTTCTTTTAAACAACAGACAAATTATTCATTCCTGAAAACAATCCATATGCATGAATTAGTGCCTTACATTAAAGAGAAGTATGAGATTTAAAAACCTGACCATGTTTTTGGGCAGTTAAACCCAGTTTTGGCTTTGGTTTGGCATTTCAACTTTTAGTTAAGTTCCTTGCTTCATACAAATACATTCACACATGCACACCCATACACACACAGACATCAACTACAGTAAAAAAGAGATTAAAATAGCTGATCATCAGCAAACTTAAGAAAGGCTTCTCCTGCCATGGAGTCAGGAGAAACTATTAATATCAGTGTTTGGAGGGCCCAGGTTATGAATGATAAATTCCTGCACCATTGGTATTATCTGGCAAAAAGAAAAAAAAAAGAATTAAAGTATCCTATTTTCATGTAACATATGTTACTCTAAATATCTGAATATAAATTTCAAGGACAGTATTCCTGCATATACAACAGACATCAGTACAGTCCCAGAGGAATCAATGATGTAGCATTTGAAACTCTAGGCAAAAACAATGCCCTAAGAGCTGACACTGGAAGTCCCATACAAATGTTCTTTAATCTCATTTCAGTCACCACATCTGGACAGAATAATGGGCTGGATTATTTTCTGCACTTACTCCATTTGTATTTCAGAGAAGATTTAAATTTTCAAGTCTCACAATGCAACATCCTTCAGAGGTGTTAAGATCTTGGCTTGGAAAGCTGCTGCATGCAGCAGTCTTGAAGACACTGATGTTTAAACTTTACTGAATTTAACTGGACTCTGTACCAAAATAGGAGACAGTTTATAAAATGACAATGCTTTGATACTATGAACTCCTCCAGATATACACCTTTAAAATATTACTATCCAGCATCTGGCCATGCTCTATAATATCTTAAAATAGAACTGAATACTTATAATGTTTTAAAATAACCACTTTCTCTTTAAAGAAATGCAACACTACTTGCAAAGACAATCCTAAGAATTAATCTTTGAATGTGAAATTGAAGAAAGCCTGAAGGATTCAAATAGCAATGTCAATTCAACCCTTTTGCTTGCAATCAGGATAGTATTTTTTAAAACTTTACATGCAAAGTTTCTGTATTTGTAACTAGAGTTTTTAACTTGCAATTTTTGACATTTTAACTGTAAAATCTGCAATTACCATAGGTGCATTCAGTTAAAAAAAGCAAAGTTAAAAAGTTCTCTGTTAAAAAATGTTTGTGTCCTGTGTGATCAAGGACACAGACTGTGACACAAGGGGAAGAAATTCCGGCAGCTTCATTTCCCTTGATTGTCCTGCCATAAACTCACCTGTGTCAGGAAGGGACTAAGGCTCTGTCAGGCCTTCCCCTGCTCTCCAGATGCAATGTGTCACCAATTAGCAAAGGCTTTAAATGTGAGAGCAGGAGGGAGGCTCTACCCTTGGCTGGCTGTAGGCTGCAGAGATGGAGAGGTTGCTGCAGGAGCTCAGCTCATCTTCCAAGCTCTTAATTGACTATAAGGAGATGTATGAGTATGAGAACCGTCTGAAAACCTTCACCAAGTGGCCCTTCCAGGAAAACTGCAGGTGCACTCCAGAGAACGTAAGTCTGAAAATGCTTGTTTTGCCTCTGCCTTAATTTGTATATGCTATGTCTGAATGTGAAGTCATAGTTAAGTATATTCCGGTTCAAGAGAAGTGCACTAAGCCTGAAGATTAAAAGTTAAATACTCAGCTTTCCTCTGTTCCCTGCTCAGAAATAGTGTAGTTGGGATTGACTGATTTTTCTGTGTCCAGTCCACAGTGTACCTTTTTTTTTGTCTGTTTTGTTGCTGCCATTTAAAAATTAATTTCTTGTGTTACATAGTCTTTTTAATTGCAAATTTCTATTCGTGACAAAGCAGCCTACATTAAACAAGTATGGAGCCAGCAGGAAGGATAAAGTAGTGGAATGATAAAGTAAAAAGTGGAATGATCACTACTTCAAATTCAGAAATGGAAATTATTTAAATAAAAAATCCACCTCACTTCTGCTTTGGTACACACATGACACTGCCAACCTGAATCTCAGATGAGTCATAGTGCTAGAGTTACCTGAGAAGGTGTTTGATTACTGAAACAAACTTAATTTTTAGTGTCCTGACTAGATATGATTCTGAATTGTCAGGAAATATGAGTAGTGTGTGTGGGATAATGCTCTAAACTTCTGAACCACTCCCTGCAGATGGCAAAGGCTGGCTTCATCCACTGCCCAAGTGCAAGTGAACCAGATAGCGCAAAATGTTTCTTTTGCTTGTTAGAACTGGTGGGCTGGGAACCAAATGATGACCCATGGTAAGCACAGATGTAACAATTTAGTAATTTTACAATGAGTTAATGTCTCTGTCGATTTCCACTATGACAGTGCACAAAACTAGAAGCTTATCTTGCCCCAGTAACTGTGAAATTGTTCAACTAGCTTTTATCTGAGATCCAATAGAATCTCTTGCATCTTTTCTGTATGATATAATTTCTGCTGATAGACAGCACAAATACAGAAGAGACCTGCCTGTACAGATCTCTTCCTCTCCTGAAATGAAGCTTCTGTGGGTTTAATATCTGTTCTTATTGTGGGTTTATACTGCAGGGAGGAACACACCAAACATCACACCTGTGACTTTTTAGCCCTTCCCAAGCACTTTGATGATCTGACAATGGAGGAGTACTACATGCTGGAGCTGACACGGGTGAAGATCTTCATTGTAAGTGTTAGCCACATCATCTGAAACGCAAAGCTAGAATATAAACAACAACTTCTCTTGCTAAGAGTTCCAAGCATCAGCTTGGAATGATTGTCTAAGGCTAGAATATGACTTATTCTGAAGTAATAATTTATGTGCATTATTGGCTAAGAAATCTGCACCTAAGCACTTCTCAGGGTAATTTATTGCCTTTTGAATGCACACCTGTTTCCTTTAGAAGTGTTTTTCCAACAACTCATCACAGCAGACAAAAAAAATATAGGGTGCAATAATCAAAGCACAAAACTCAACAATGAGCAGCTCTATCATTGTCACGAGGGATGAACAACATATGCAAAAAGACAAAATTTGACCAGATTATTGCTTCACATGTCCAGTTTAACATATAAATCTGCCTAATTAACCTTTAAACCTCATTTCTAATATTTCACTCCTCCCCACTTCTGGGGAGTTTCATGCCACAGTGTTGACATGTAAAAAAAGCACACAACTGAGCAGCTCAGTTGATCAAGATCAGCTGATCTGTGAGCCCTAATCCTATGGACAGTAGGAATCAAGTGAACCAAGTTCCCTGATGAGGAACAGTAAAAGGTTCTGCGTATTGGTTGTTGGTGGGTTTGCACAAATAAGACCTCTGCCTTGCTAATAATTCAACATATTAAATAAATAATTAAATAATTGTATTATAATTAAAATATAATGAAATAATAATTAAATTCTGTATTAAATATATACCTGGTGACTGCTAAGGTTAAGCATTTAAGGTCACGGTGCAACAGATTAAAGTACAAAAAAATAGGATCATATGGCACAGTGATATCTTAGAAGGAGGACTAAGAGTGGCATTACCTAACTTGAACTGTGAATGATCTAGAGCAATGTTTCAAGGTTCAATATGGGTCTTGGCCATGATATGGCTGTATTTCTAAGTATATAAAACATTTGAAGCAGCAGCCTCAGGTGGGGACACTCAGCCCCAAGGATATGTCACGGATAGCTGGGAGGGCTGTGCACTAGGCTGACCAGGGTATGATTGCTGTCCTGAAACACTGATACCTGAATGCAGCCTGAGGAGAGGGGGCTGGAATGGGGCTGAACTACGGAGTTAAAGCGCTCCTCTGAACGGCTCAATCTCTTGCTTTGATTCAAGCGCAAAGTTGGCAACCGCACAATAAACGCTTTTGAAGAAGAAGTCACGGCGACGAGGCAGAGGCTGGTGAATTACTTCGGCTCCGGAGCCTCGCTGCCGGCACCGCTGCCTGTCGAGGATGAGCCTGCAGCCCAGCAGCCGGGAGGCTCAGCTGCCGGCCCCAAGGAGCCCAGGACAAGTGAGCTGTGACCTCTGGCTCTACAAGGGTCTCTTACTTTGGTGCAAACATCCCTGTCTTTGTCTGAGTTCCAATCCAAAGCTGAGCAGGTGTGTGAGGAAGTGTGTGTGTGTAGAGAATTGCTCCTGGATCAGGAGTGAGCACAGCCAGGGATGGGCTGGCTCTCACCCTGTGCTTCCTTGTTATTGCTGGGTGTGGAGATAAGAGTACTTCCACTACCCTGCCACTGGGTGAAAAATGTCTGAGCAAATACTTCTATTCTGGTTTTTAGCAAGCTGACTTATTTCTTTTTGAATAAAGATTCACAACAAGAGTGCTTTCTGTGATCTGTGTTAAAACCTTATACCTAGACTCAAATCACTTCTGCTTCAAAACACTTTGCAAGGAACTCGATGGATCTGTGTGTCTGCAACAATTGCTTAAGCACCTGCACTGGCTGCACTCCTGCTTACCCCTGAGCTGTCTCTCTAGGTCAGACCAAACTGACACAGACAAAAACATCCAGCAAAAACAGCAGGTGGACTGTAAGGGTAGGCACAAGGTGTGCAAGACAGTCTCTGGATATTTTGGTGTGCAACTAAAACAACAAAAGCTAAAGTCCTACTATTCTGTTTTTAAAAGCTTTTCATTACAATTTCAAACTTGCTGGAGTTCTTTTAAAAATCTTATTCTTTTCTGTTTTCCTTTATGAGAGACTGTTGTAGAATACAAGTGCATGCATGCTTGCAAATATTTTTGGTTTTAAGATGCAGACAGACCTTTCTCAGCAAGGTGAAAGTTTTGTACACTACTTTGTCAGGTCTCAGGCAGTGAATGAACAGCAGCTTTTGGAACTCCCCTGACTTGTCTTTCCACTCTGCAAGAAAATCCTCATCCTTGAGATCTTAAAAACATGTATTTCAATCTTCTTCAAAGCATTTATAAATTCCCTAGTTTGAGAGTAAGTTATCCCTTAACTTGATACATCAATCCATGAAGTGACTATTTCCCAAAGAACTAAAGTCCTCAGCTTGCTGTATTTTTGTTTGGTAAATGCCCAAAGAAAGCCTAGTTTTCATTACTTGCCCATTTCCTGCAATCTGCTCAAGTGAAGAAGCTGGAACTGTTTAGTTCCTTTAATGTCTCTCATTATACCTTTTTTATGAGCATTTCCAACCAAAAATCCGTTCTTTCTCTCTCTGCATACTTTATGCTGTTTAATTAAAAAGTATTTCTAAAGCCTTGATATTTACAATGAAAAAAATGCACAAATAATTTTTTTTTAAAGAGTCTAAGAAGTCCTGAGTCACTTGACTGAATACTGGTGATAGATTTTCATCATTTAAATTAACAGTAAGAAAAGTGAACTGGCAAAAGTGTTACCTGGACATCAAAGTGGTTATGGTCAGATATGAAGAGTAAGATAGAAGAATTTTTTGTCTGAATACCTTGAATATCTCAGACAAAATAAGGTAAAGTCCATTCAGGTGGTTTGAAATGTAGTGTAAGAATTTGCAGAAATTACTTCAAATTCTTTTTTCAAGGTAGAAACAAAGATGTGGAAAATCTCTGTAGCTTTCTCCCAATTACCTAGATCACCAAGCCCTTAGCAGAGAGCTACTCTAAGGATCATTCCTGTATTTCAGGCATGGTGATCATTCTGAGACCTAATTGTAATCTATTGTCATTAAAATTAGGTAATGGTAATTACCTAATTTTAATCTATTATCATTAAAAAGTGTAAAGCTTTTGACAGATCAAGAATGAGAGCAAGCTATGTTGTTTGATCTGTGTTTCCATCTATTTCTGTTTTCTTCTATTCAGTTAACAAGAAATGGATAATTTTGAATATTATTACTGTAATAATTACTGAGTTATTATTAGCATTAAGTCCTTTCAAAGTTATGGCTCCTCATCAGTTAAATGGATGTACATACAGTTTATGCACAAAATACTGACACAAACATGACTGTGGGACAAAATGTAAATTTTTTTCAAGTCACAAAAGTAACATGGTTTAAATGAGAAAAGAATGGTTAAAAGAATCTCAGCATAGAGCCTGTTGTAAAAAGAGCCTGACTAGTGAAGGAAGCAAAGAGGGCTATGTGAATTATTCATTCACAGAGAGTTTGCTGTGGGGCTGCCTACCTCTGCCTCTGCTGCTCTTGTGGCTTTCCTCAGTTGCTGCTGGACTCTGCTGGAATGCTGCTTGCATCATCAAAAAGGGCTCACACCAACTGTTCCCTGGGGATGGTGGTGGAATCCACTCTGGCAGCTGGGATTCAGGCTCTGTATTGTTGTGTTTCTGCTGAAGGAAAGGTTCAGAATCAAAGTGAGGTAATTTTATTTATTGCACACTCTAATTTAGACACATAGGAATACAGGGGATTTCTTGAGATGTCAAATAGTAAAAGAGTTAGATTTATAGAACACAGACTGCCTTGGTGGTAAAGGTTACCTCAAAGATACATTCAAATATGATCCCACAATATCAAGCTCTGGCGAAAATGATTACTAGCAATATCTTAAACAGTTCTCCTAAACTTAACTACAGATAAAAAAGCCCCATGTAGCTTTTGCATGTGAGGTGACTCCTGTATTAAGTCTTGTAAATATTTTTATCAAAAAGGTGAGCAACTTGCATCAGGAGATCCAAGCTGGGAAAGGTGATAAAAGTAATTAATTAAATAAATTCCTGACAGGATGAAAGAATGTCAGAATTGCAAGGTGAAGTATTAGACATGAGAACAACACTTGCGGTACCAGACACCCAGCAGTGTAAAAAAAATGCCAGGAGTTCTTCCCAAGTTTTAGCCAAGGAATCGCTTTAAAATTAAAACAGAGTTGTACATTTATTTTCAAAATTGTCACCTTAACTGATTTCCCAGCAAGATAATGTGTAGAAATACTATTATTCTAACATGAAAAAAAAAGAAATGGCAATTCTCATAAAACAATCAAATATATAATTTTAACTAAGTATTATATTGTGCTAAGAAGTAACTTAGTATAGTTTTAAGTACAACTTGGAGTGAGGGCTTCAATAGTACTCACTTGATTCAAAACAAGGAGAGAAAAAACATATCTATTTCCCTTAACTACAAGAACATTGGATATTCACTACTTTCATTTTTTAGCTAATTGTGCCCCCTCCAGGTCCTTCTGTAATTTACACTTTCTTTAGTCATCAACCTTCCAGTATTGCCAAACTGCACTTTTCCAGTGTTGTAACAAACTGAGGGCCTCCGAGTTTGATTATATGCAAACTATTGTCTTTTTCCATGTTCTTTATTCGTTTGATAGCTCCCTAAGGAGCCATCAGCAGAGGCCATCTTCTTGCATTACCAAAGGGAAAAATACAAACTTTCAAAACTGAAATATCAGCTCTTCAAATGTTTACCTCAAAGTGCTTTTTAAGGCAATTTATTCCCTTCTGTCATTACAGCAGAAGCACATGAAATCATAGTAGGCACATAGTGCAATTTAAGAGGAGAGAGATGAACATTAAAGTTTTGTTTACAAAAAACAATTTTCCTCTTTGAGAGACTGTATTTAGAATAAGAGTTCTTACTTGCTAGAAAGTTTAATCACATTTAGTTTTATATTAAATTCAAAATAATAATATCCCTCTGAAGTTTTGAACAGCTTTAGTACAGTTGCATGCATAAGTGACTGTTTTCAAGTATAAACAAAGGGAATTTTCCACTAATGAAAATGGATATTGTGGAGGAAAGCCTAAACTTAGGAGAGGAAGTTTTGGTGGAGAAATGGCAGTAACCTTCTCTGTTATGGATCAGAGACCCATCACCAGCTGAAGGAGGATGCCTTCCTTCTCCCTTTCAGAAAGGTTCAAGAAAACATCTGAAAGGAAATCTGAGCAGCCTACCCACAAGAGAAGAAAGCTTTCACAGGTAAAATGCTTTGAGAAATTCAGAAAACACATTTATAACCCACTAGCACAGCATGATATCAATAAAGTGCGAACTTTGTAAAGTTACAAGGGTTTTGAGTGATTTGATAAACACAGATAAGGGAAAATTGAGTAGCACCATAGTTCTGGAGAAGCAATAGGGATTGGAAACCTGAATGTCTGTCAGATGAGGCAGTAGCATCAGCAGGGATAGAAAGAGACTCTCACAGCACATAACAGTGCTCAGCAGTGGGTCAGAAATGTGCTGGAAGAACTGCTGAGCTCCCAAATTTCTACGTGGCTCAGTCACTTGTCAGTGCCCAAAGAGAGACCCAAGGGAGATGGAGCCAGGTTACATTTTCAACATAAGCTGCTACCAGCAATTGCAGACTGAACTGAACACAGGAAAGCTGCATGTTAAGTACAGTCTAGAAATAGGAATTTAGCATTTGGGTAAAACTCAGCTAAAACCTGCATTATATCTTTCCCTACTTCAAAGTTTCAGTCACATATTTTTTTCAGCATATCCCGCTTCAGACTTAGTATTTGAATAATTAAAGAATAGTTCTCTAATATCAGCAGCCCAACACACACAGCTTTCATCATCTATAAAATCCTTCTTCATTGACAGGAATGCATAAGCAGTCACTGGGTATGTTTGCAAATTATCCTTGGATTGCTCACTAATTCTGCTTTTGAAAAAATTTGTTGTTACAAAAAGCCTGAGTTGCATTTTATACAGTTCCTGTAGTCCTAATATCCAGCCATAAACTCACAACTACAGGCATAATATGTACCATCAATTTGAGGTAGATTCTATCTCATCTTTCAAAATTAAAAGCTATCATTATTTAGTTTTTAAATGCTAATCATTTTCCATTAGTTCAAAAAGAATTTTGATCAAAGCTGTGTAAAAGTGAAATGGAGGATGAACTGTACAAGTCTTGAATTCATTAACATTTGTCGACTGTTTAGCCTGAGTGATTGAATTATTAATACAGTAATTACTTGAAAAAAATGACATATACAATCAGAATGCCAGCATACATCCTCCAATTTCAACATGTAGTTTTGCTTCCAGAAGTACAATCAATGCCCTATATCTGCAGTATTTCTAGTGCC